TCCCAAAAAAAAAATAAAAATAAAAATAAGAAATCAGAGATTTGTTCCGAAATTTTAAAAATAGGTTAAACTGGTTAAGCACTTACTATGTATCAAGTGCTTAACCAGTGTAACGTGTTTTACACTGTGTAACCAATGAATGCACTGTCATTTAATTTTTTTTTTTTTTTTTTTTTTAGACAGAATCTTGCTCTATTGCCCAGGCTAGAGTGCAGTGGTACAATCTTGCCTCACTGCAACCTCCAACTCCGGGGTTCAAGCGAGTCCCCTGCCTCAGCCTCCCGAGTAGCTGGGATTATAGGCACGTGCCACCACACCTAATTTTTTGTGTGTGTTTAGTAGAGACAGGGTTTTGCCATGTTGGCCAGGCTGGTCTCAAACTCCTGACCTCAGGCAATCTGCCCACCTCAGCCTCCCAAAGTGCTGGGATTACAGGCATGAACTACTGATCATAATTCTTAAAACACCTCTACTGTATAGATATTATTGTTACATATTATATATTACAATAGGGAAACTGAGGCATAGATAGTTAAAGTAACTTGTCCAAGGTCACAAGACTAATTAGGGAGCAGGGATTCCAACCCAATCTCTGACCATAGAACCCTCAACCATAAGCTGAAGTTTTCAGGCAACCACCTGTCTCAGATTCACTCTGACCATGGGGAAATGGGTATGCGTCTCTACTCACAGGCATTATCACCTTTTTCCTCACGGTACTCTCATACAAGAGGATTAGCTCTGCGTCCAGTATGCAACTCTCCCGCCCTTGCATCCGCCTCTTACCGGCAGATCAAAACCCACGCTGCCTCCCGCCTCCGTGCTTTAAGAATCTATAGAACTGGATGCTGATGGTGGCAAAATCTGTCGATAGAGCTCAAGCAGTGGCTCTCAATCAGGGGCGATTTGGGCCCCCGGGGGACATTTGGCAATGTCTGAAGCTGTTTTTGATCATCACAACTTAGGTGGGAGTGGGGAGAGGAGCTGAGTAGGAGCCAGGGAGGCTGCAAAACACCCTGTAATGCCCAGGCAGCTCTCTCACTTACCTCTCAGTCTGGCCCAAAATGTCAATAGTGTTGAGGTTGAAAAACTCTAAGCTAAAAAAGTCAGTAACGCTCATTAGCCTTTGTCCACAGCCCGGCCCCGGGCAGAGCCTGGCGACATTAGGCAGGAAACTGTATGGGATGGGTTAGCTCTTCTGGGAGGGGAGGGGCCACTGCTTGCACTCCGGCTTCTTCCATCCAGCTAATTGGCACATTTGCAGATTGCCTGAACTGACAGCCTCCTTTCCCCCTGCAAACAGCATGCTGATAAGCTTTCCAAAATCAAAATACTGTCCTGACAAGCTAAGGGAGTGATTCAGCAAGGTGAGTCTCTCTGCTGTGCGTGAGGCAAAAGCATAGGGCGTGTTCTAGAGGCAGTCAATGGGGTGGCGTGCCCAGAGTGAAGTGTGGCATTAGTGAGGGCAAGGGGGCATGGGCAGAGAAAGGCAGGAAACATCATTACCATCCAATGGGACGAGTGGAACTTTACAACTGGTCAGGGAATCCTGTCGGCTCCAATCCCTAATGACTTTAGCAGGCAATGAGATCATGATCTGCAAGAACAGAGCTAAAGATCTGGGAGCTATAACCAGATACGGTTGCAAATAAAGTCAGCTCCAGTATAGAAAGGAACAGAAGGCCTGGGCTGCATTTGATTCACCCAAGGTTCAAGGTCAGAGTTGTGCCACGAAGGTACGAGCAGAGCTGGGGGGAGGTAGACACACCTGGTTTTGAACTCCAGCTTTGAAACACTCCCTCCATGTATAGGCAAGAAACAATCTCTCTCAGACTTCATTTCTCATCGGTAGAGCAGGAGTAATAATAAAAGTCACTACGCAGGGCTCTCCTGAGGAGCAAAGGGTGTGATGTGTGGAATCCAGCGCTTGGATAGGAGGCCGTGCACAAAATTAGTCTGGAACAAGAGCCCAGTCACCTCTCTGCTCCCCTCCGCCCCTTCCTTGCACATGGTTTTCCCGGGTGCCTGGCTGCCAGAGGAACTGTTCCTGGGGCTGAATCCTGCCATCCCAACAGAGGCTTTTTATTAAGTAGAATTTACGCTGACAAACCATTCCATACATGTCCAGAGAGCAAGCTCACCTCAAACAAACATATGCAACTTTTCTAGAGCCCAGAAAATGACTTTTTAAAATATTTATTGTGAACCTGGGGTCCCTAGAAGCACATTTACCATGAAGTTAATGAAAAATTGGTTACCATTTGCTGTCAAGAGAGTCTGATGCAGCCACTCATTCGGCTCCCCAGAATTTCTAGACTGGGTTAATAGGGTCATGTTGTGAATGCCTCGCTGCAAAATGACTTGAGTCCAGTGAAACCTCATTAGGGTTAAGAACATTTCAGAGATGCTTAATGTTTTGATTTTTGTTTTCTGAAATTGGATTTTATTGTATCTTATAATTTCAGTTCATCTAAATTGTGTGTTCTGTACATGTGATGTTCGACTGTACCACTGCCTGTTACGGAAGCTCAGCACTGCATATCTCTCTCTACACTGTGGTGCACTTAACTTGCAGAATTTTTAAACTAAAAATGTAGCATAAAGACTACTTTGAAGATTTGAATAAAGTGATAAAGATGCATTCCAAAAAAAAAAAAAGAAACCTCAGGCCTCTCACTTCACCCACCCCGCTGGGAGGCCCATGCCAGCGCCCCAGCAGCCTCTGCATATGGTCACGCACCGTTACAAACTCTGCAATGGTAAGATGCTTAGTTGCTTCAGATCACTGCCGCTTTCCACCTTGACTTCTGTTTGGCCACATTTTCTCTCCTTTTGGGTAGCTTTGGAACGGCCATGGGCATTTTGCGGACCTAGCTAAAGAATCCAAGTTAGAGCTATCTTTAGCTTTGGGTTGATTATGATTTATCGATTCAGTCAATTTCTTTCTTTCTTTTCTTTGAGACAGGGTGTCGCTCTATCACCAGCTGAAGTGCAGTGATGTGATCAGGGCTCACTGCAGCCTCCACTTCCCGGGCTCAAGCAAGCCTCCTGCTTCAGCCTCCCAAGTAGCTGGGACTATAGGCACATACCACCACACCCAACTAATTTTAAAATTTTTTTTTCCTTTTTCTTTTTCTTTTTTGTAGAGATGGGGTTTCACCATGTTGCCCAGGCTGGTCTCAAACTCCTGGGCTCAAGCAAGCTGCTTGCCTCGGTCTCCCAAAGTGCTGGGATTACAGGGATGAGCCACTGCACCTGGTTGATGCAGTCACTTACATACAGCCAAGCTACAGCTTAGAAAAGGTTTCTAGGGATGTTCCTACCACCCACATGCCAACATAGATGGCATGGAGTGTGAAGGCTCAGACCCAAGCATCATATGATATGAGCATGTCCCCAGAGCAAGGGGGAATACAAGATGTGAAATAGGGTCCTACAGTAGTCTGGGGCAGTTTTCCAATCATCAAACTTGTACAATTGTAGGTACACTTAAAGGGATCACTGGTCAAGACAAAAGTTCTCACCTTTCAGGAACATAAGAGACCATCAATGAATATCTGCCCCAAAATGTGGGATAGAAAGGATTTTAGAGACATGTTAGTCAGTTAATTATACGTTTTTCTAAATTTAGTGAGACTTTAATACCTAATTTTGTATGTCAAGTTTACATTCTCTTCCTTCCAAATTGTATAAGTATCAGGCCCAATGAAACCTAGATTCACCCCTTTGGCTCACAAACTCTTATTTTAGCTTTGTTTTTTGTTGTTGTTGTTTTTGATGTTTGTTTGTTTGTTCGTTTTTGAGATGGAGTCTCACTCTGTTGCCCAGGCTGGAGAACAGTGGCGTGATCTCAGTTCACTGCGACCTCTGCCACCCGGGTTCAAGCAATTCTCTTGCCTCAGCCTCCCGAGTAGCTGGGATTATAGGCACCCACCGCCACGCCCGGCTAAATTTTTTGTTATTTTTAGTAGAGATGGGGTTCACCATGTTGGCCAAGCTGGTCTCAAACTCCTGAACTTGGCCTCCCAAAGTGCTGAGATTACAGGCGTATTTTCGATTTTTGAGGAGGGTGTGATGGACAGAAACGTGAGGAGTGAGAAAACCAAACTTCCTAACTACATTTCATGAAATAATTATATTTCAGTGACACAGTGAAATTCTTTGTATGTTTGTTCTTTCTGAAAAGAGCTAAATGAAATAGGATTAAGTCTCCAGACTACACAAGCAGATTTTCTGGTAAGGGTGCATCCGTACTGCAGCGTTTGGGGAAAATGCTTTCTGTACAATGTTCAATAAAACACACTTAGACTGTTAAAAAACAAAAATAAAAAATGCTGTCGACTTTCTGCTAAAGCCTTTTACCTGTGCTTTACGTGTGCCTTCCCTCCAGCAGATTCTAAACTCTCCATTCACACCCACTATTGTCACTTCCACACGAAATTAAACAAACTCAGTTCGATCACCGCAGTTTTCAAAAGCACAAAGTAACACCATGCAAGTTAGAGAAAGTGAAAGAACATCTTTCTAAATTCAAAAGGCTGAACAAGGAGACATTCAGGTAGGCAGAGGCCTTGCAGATTCTGTTCTTACCGCAGAAAACCTTAAAGGAGCCACATTCTGCATGTTGTTTTTCATGTCAACAAAAAGTCCAGACGGACCCCATAAGCTCACAGTGCTTCTCACCCCTCCTCCCTCCCCAAACTCCATCGACCCAGAAGCATTAATTTCATAAGGAAGCGAAAACTAAATTTGGCTTTCTACTAAATTCAGATCTGAATTCAGCCATCCATTTCCCAAGGGCCAGGACCCAGAGCCAAGTCAGCCCGCCCCTCTCTCGGGATCCCAGACCCGAGCGGGGGATTCTGCAGCCCAGGGCTCCTGCAGGTTTGGGAAAGGCGGCTACGCTGGGCAAGTTTGCAAAGTTCTGGGAGAGCGAAAGCAGGGAGCGTGTTGGCCCTTTTCCTTTCCTTGGAGAGCACTTAATAAGAATGACACCCTACCCTCACTTCCAGTGCCTTCTCTTGCAGTCCTCCTTGTTCTATAAAAACTGAGTTCGTGTCTTTAAAGCCAGGATTTTTTTCCTGGGAGTCAGCAGCTGCTAAGGATTGCCAGTCGGCTTCTGCTCTGAGCGCCATGTGACCTGGACACGTGACTTGGAGCCGGCTGCGGTTGTTACTTGTATTTGAATAAGAAGATCAAGATGATTATTGCAGTAAAAGCCTGTGGGGCTTGTCTGTGCAACGTGATTCACCGGGCGGGTTACACAACGCGCCACAGAGCCTCGTCTTGCAGACACTCAAGTTGTTTCCTAAGGTAAAACAAACATGATTTTATATTTTCCAACGTGTCGTCCATTTGCCCCCTGGAAAATGTCTGATGATCCTGGAAAAAGATGAAGCCCAGTTTCTCCAAACCCTGTGAGTCCTCTTGCTACAGTAAGGTAGAACTACTGCTCAGCACACAGTTAGAGAAGAAAACAGTGAATCCAGACTCCTTTTCCAATAAACATTCAGGATTGACGTTACCTTTTACTATTTCCCTTCTCCCTCCCAGAAACAGTCTTCAAGATACGCTCTTATCTATCTATAAAGAATCACACTAAAAATGACGTGTTTAAATTTAAAATGTAAATGGTATGTTCATTTTGTGATTTTTTTCCCCATAGATTTCTACAACATTAATCGTTTATTTATTTATTTATTTATTTAGAGATGGAGTCTCACTCTGTCGCCCAGGCTGGAGTGCAGTGGTGTGATCTCAGCTCACTGCAACCTCCACCTCCATGGTTCAAGCAATTCCCCTGCCTCAGCCTACTCAGTAGCTGGTATTACAGGCGCACTCCACCAGGCTCGGCTAATTTTTTTGTATTTTTAGTAGAGACAGGATTTCTCCATGATGGCCAGGCTGGTGTCAAACTCCTGACCTCAGGCAGTCTTCCCACCTTGGCCTCCCAAAGGGCTGGGATTACAGGCGTGAGCCACCGTGCCAGTCAATAGTTAAATTTTTATTCTCCACATACCCTGTAAAAGAGACATCAGAAGGATTTGTCTTTTTGTAAATGGGAAGGGCTGCATGTCCCCCTTCAGGTTAGGGTGTATATGTGTGCATATATATATATATATATATATATGCAAATATATGCAGATTTGCTCGAGGGCTTTTCTACCAAGAAGGTGACATCTTTACCATGCATGTTTTAATATTTCCTCCCACCCCAATGCTAAAGAAGCCCTGCAATAATTTGCTTTCTTCTGCCTCTAAGGGTGATGACTCAATTACAGAGGAAAGAAAGACCGGGGAGGAACAGCAGCTTTGGTTATGTCTAACGAGCTATCCGATAACCATAAAACCAGGACGTTATCTCAGCCCAAGGCTGGGGCCTCTGTGTGGAACTGCAAGGGGACTTTCCTTTCTTTAAAAAAAAATAAATAAAAACTTTTATTTTAGGTTCAGGTACCTGTGCAGGTTTGTTATAGAGACAAACTCATGTCATGGGGATTTGTCGTACAGATTATCTCGTCACCCAGGTTCTAAGCCTAAAACCAATTAGACATGAACTCCCCATTTTCCACTCCCCTACCCACTAGTAACCACCATTCTGCTGTTGTCTCAATGAATTTGACTGCCCTCCACACCTCACATTAGAGTCCCACAGTGTTTGTCCTCATTTGACTGACATTTAACTTAACATAGTGTCTTAAAGGTTCATCCATGTCGAAGCATGTGTCTGAAACTCCTTCCTTTTTTAAGGCTGAATAATATTCCATTCCATTGTCCGTGTACCACGTTTCATCTGTTCATCCATCCATGGACACTGGGGTTGCTTCTACCTTTTGGCTATTGTGAATAATGCTGCTCTGAACCTGGGTATATACAATTATCTTCATGAGTTCCTGTCAATTATTTCCTTTTTTTTTTTTTTTTTTTTTTAAAGACGGGGTTTCACCATGTTGGTCAGGCTGGTCTTGAACTCCCGACGTCAGGTGATCCGCCTGCCTTGGCCTCCAAAGTGCTTGAATTACAGGCGTGAGCCACCATGCCCGGCCACAATTATTTCCTTTCAATTGAAGTCATGGTTTCAATTATTTTGGATAAATACCCCGAAGTAGGATTGGTGAATATATGGTAATTCTGTTTAATTTTTTTTTTTGAGGACCCACCACACTGCTTTCCATAGAGGCTGCGCCGCTTTTGTTTTATTTCTAGAGATGGAGTCTCCCTTTGTGGCTCAAGCTGGAATGCAGCGGTGCAATCACAGCTCACTGGCACCTCGAACTCCTGGGCTCAAGGGATCCACCCACCTCAGCCTCTCCCTGAGTTGCTGGGGCTAAAAGTGCATGTCACCACACTTGACAAAAAAATAAAAAATAATTTGTAGAGATGAGATCTCATCATCTTGCCCAGGCTGATCTGAAACTCCTGGGCCCAAGCAGTCCTCCCACCTGGGACTCCCAATGTGCTGGGATTATAGGCCTGAGCCACCGTGTCTGGCTGAGGCTGTGCCATTCTGACACTCTTGGTGGCTCAGGTCTTTCTAAGAGGTGACCCTGAAGAAGATATCAATTTTATTCTTTGATTTTCTGAAGACTTACTGATGCTGGACACGGTACCTCATTTCTGCCTTAGGCTCTCCTTCTACAGCAGGAAGATGGCAGTTACTGTGTCTCTCAGGAAAACAAGGAACTATGGCAAGTGTTGTTGACATAGGCTGGGAGAAATTTAGTTCAAAATACAGTATATGACCGAGTGCAGTGGCTCATGCCTGTAATCCCAGCACTTTGGGGGGCTGAGGCGGATGGATCAACTGAGGTCAGTAGTTCGAGACCAGCATGGCCAACATGATGAAACCACATCTCTACTAAAAATACAAAAATAAATCAGGAAAGAAAGAAGAACCGGGCATGGTGGCACACACCTGTAATCCCAGCTACTTGGAAAGCTGAGGCAGGAGAATCGCTCGAACCTAGGAGGCGGAGGTTGCAGTGAGCCGAGATCGTGCCACTGCACTCTAGCCTGGGTGACAGAGTGCGACTCCATCTCAAAAAAAAAAAAGGGATAGTATACTCTCATCCGAAGTGTTGGGGTCACAGACCGTGCTGTCCCTTCCTCCAGCATGAACGGCTTCTCCTTCCAATGCATAGGTCAGGGTTAGAGACGGCCATGGGGCCACTTCTTGGTGGCTAAGGTCTGATATCTGCATTGCTCATGAGACATAAATGTCAAGGACATTCTCTGAGGCAATGCTGCTTTTATAAAAGACCGTCCTTAGCCAACAGACACATCTTGCCTGCGTTTCTGACTTCTGTTTCAGCTCACCATCTTCCTTTTCCTTCCGTGCGAGCTACAGGTCTAAAGGGAGGAGGAGTCATTGAAAGTCTGTCAAAATCCAGCCAAGGTTTCACTAAGAATGTGCTAGCTGCATCTTTTCTCTCAGTCTCCCACTTCCCGACCTCCTGGCCAGCGCTGACTCAGGATATCAGACGCTCTGCCAATTTCAGGGCCCACTTTTGCTCTCTGTTCATTCACAGACCCACGTTAGGCCCTGTCAAAGCAGGGGAGGCCTCACACCTCTCTCTCACGAGACACAGAAGCAGTATTGGCATGCTCTCCTTTGGAAGGTTGCCTGCAACTGTTCCTTGGCCCTCTGGCACTTTGGACAGGCTGGCCTTTTGGGCAGCACCTGCCAGTTTCTGGAGTGTCCTCCGAAGCTGGCTGTGGAGAAACAGGGAAGGGGAAGGTGTTGGCACTCGGGCTGGAACTGTGCGCCGTTTTGATCAAAGTTCACAGAGTGATCACTCCAGAGTAGCTCTGCTGTGTTTTCAGCCATTGCTGACAGCAGCGAAGTGGCCTCTTCACAAAGGCTCTTGTTGGTGCAGGATCAGAAACAGGGCTGGAGGGGGAGAACTCCTTCATGCTGACTTATGAAGTCTCTAAGAAACAAGATCACACCTGTATCTCCCAGCAAAGGTTCAACTCTTGTTTCCAAAGCATCTTCTGCTAAATTAATTAGTCCTTAGTGGCCAGGAGAGAAGGGCCCTTGGTCATTGCAGCCATGTGGGTAATCCCACTGTCCTCACTCTCCCAGCCCCACCAGGCCCCAGGGCTTGGCCTCTTGGAGGTGAGTTACCCGCTCTGGAGTGAGGCCCCATGAGGGCAGGGCCCCCTCTCCCTTAGTCACTCCTGCATCCCTGGAACCTGCAATTGTGCCCTGTGGAGAAGACATTCAACCAGTATTTGTGGAATGAGTGAATCCATCACTGCAATCTTCTGTTCTGGGCTGGAGAATGGGCTTTCTCTTTAGAGGAGAGGAATTGATGGCCTCGATGGAAAAGAGACAGATTCTGTCTGTGTGGCCCAGGCTGGTCTCAAACTCCTGGGCTTAAGTGACCCTCCCATGTTGGCCTCCCAAAGTGTTGAGATTACAGGCGTGAGCCACCACGCCTGGCCTTCTCACCTATTAAGAAACAGATTTCTCAGTAGGTTGTGGGAAATCCTAGATCGACTATTAGCACAGGAGCTGTGCTTGATGGGATACGAAGGAAGAAGTTCCCAGGAAGTGTGACAGGAGAAATTGAGACAGCAAGATTCAGATGTTCTCTGCCTTGACTTAATGACAACATCCAATAGAACAGGGCATGTTACAAGAAGCCAACGAATATTCCACACTTTTTTTTTTTTCAGATGGAATTTTTGGTCTTGTTGCCTAGGCTGGAGTGCAGTGACGTGGTCTCGACTCAGTGCAACTTCTGCCTCCCAGGTTTAGGCAATTCTCCTGCCTTAGCCTCCGGAGTAGCTGAGATTACAGGCACGAATCACCACCCCCTGCTAATTTTTTTGTATTTTTAGTAGAGATGGGGTTTCACCATGTTGGCCAGGCTGGTCTCCAACTCCTGACCTCAGGTGATCCGCCCGCCTCAGCCTCCCAAAGTGCTGTGATTACAGGTGTGAGCCACTGTGCCCAGCCAAGAATATTCTACACTATACAAAGCACATACTTAATAACTCTAAGTACAGGGTTCATAACTTGTTAGCTTGAATGCAGGGTAAAAATAAAATATAAACAAATAAAATAAACAGGGTCTTTTGAGTTGCTAGAAAAGAAAGAAAACCCTCAGGCCTCCTTGG